AAAAAGCTGTTGCACAGCAAAGGATACAATCAACAGAGTGAAACAACAACCTACAGAGTGGTAAAAAATTTTTGCTAACTATGCATCTAACAGGGGATTAATATCCATAATATACAAGGAACTCAAGCAATTGCACAGTAAAAATCCAATAACCCAATTAAAAAATGGGCAAAGGAGCTGAATAGACATTTTTCAAAGGAAGACATACAAATGGCCAACAGGCACATGAAAAAATGCTCCACATCACTAATCATCGGGGAGATGCAAATTAAAACCACACTGAGATTTCATCTCACCCTAGTTAGACTGGCTGTAATCAAAAAGATGGAGAATAACAAATGCTGACAAGGATGTGGAGAGAAGGGAATGCTCATTCCTACACTGTTGGTGGGACTGTAAATTAGTACAGCCATTATGGAAAACAGTATGGAGTTTCTCAGACAACTACAGATAGATCTTCCATATGATCCAGCAATTCCACTTCTGAGTATATACCCAAAGGAATGGAAATCATCGTGTCAAAGGGATACCTGCCCTCCTGTGTTCATTGCAGCTCTGTTCACAATAGCCAAGATAGGGAACCAACCTAAATGTCCATTGATGGATGATTGGATAAGGAAAATGTGGTATGTATACACCATGGAATACTACTCTGTCATAAAAAAGAATGAAATTCTCACCTTTGCAGCAACATGGATGAGCTTGGACTTATGTTGAGTAAAATAAAGAAAGCACAGAGGGGTAAATGCCGCATGTACTCACTCATAAGTGGGAGCTAAGAGAGAAAGAAGGAAGGAAAGAAAGAACACAGTGGTGCATTGGATTTGCAGAGGGAGAGAACATATCTAGGGATACAAAGTGGAGTGGGGAAAGAGGGATGGGAGTGAGGTCAGGGATAATTGTGTTGGGGACACCGGGTATCATCGCAATTTGTGGTAATGGGCATACTGCCAGTATGGATCTGGCCATCACATGTTGGGCATGAGTAGTGACAATTAGCCTTGTACCCCATGATATTCATAACCAATAAAGAAAAAAGTTCCTACTTGCAGTGCAAAAAAGAAAAAAAAAAGAAAATGTATTGCAAGTTTATTCTCTTCTTATAAATTTAAAATATTATGTAATATAAAAATAAATAAATTGTAGTGCTACAATAATTGAAACTCTGGAATGAAACAGAGAAAAAATCAGTGAAGTATTTTAAAGTATGTAAACAAATCTGTTTGTGACATTTCAAATTAATGGGTAGAGAGGATATAGTAGTGAATAAATGAATTGCAATAGTTGCTTAACCAGTTCCTGGGGGAAAGGGGGTTAATTTTTGTATAAAATGATTAACCAAAAGAAATACTAGGTGAATTAAAGGTAAAAAATGAAACCATAAATATTTTAAAAGTATAGATGAATATGAAAATAAATAAATAATATTTCTCAGGTCAGGGAGAAGACTGTTCATATAAACTTTTTAAATAATATAGTCAAATGGTTCAAAAATGAAACTATAAAAAGTATAAATAGGTATACTGTCCCTCATCTACACTGTATTACTCCTGCACCCTTCCCACACTCGGCTAACCATTGTAATTGCTTATATCCTCGCAGAGCTTTTTCATGGATTTGTTAGTAAATAAAAACATGTATTCTTAGCCCTCTATCCTTTATTTTGACATAAATTATACACTCTACACACTATTCTGTACTTTAATAAACTTTATTTTATACACTTATTTTAAACATATTGGAGGTTTTTTGTTTGTTTGTTTGTTTTACATCAGTCAGTATATGTATCCAGTCCCTTGCTGATGGGTATTTAGGTTACTTTTTCTTTGGCTAATACAGTGGTGCAGTGGATATCATTTTACAGGTATGCAAGTACACCTTTGTTTTTCTTACTCTTTTTTTTTTTTGTGGGGGGGGGGGGCTGGCTGGTATGGGGTTCTGAACCTTTAGACCTTGGAGTTACAACATCACATTCTAGCCACCTGAGCCCACTGACCAGCCCCTGCAAGTACATCTTTGTGAATAAATTTCCAGAAGTACTGCTGGTTCAAAAGATAGATGCATTTGTAATTTTTAAAACATTGACCACTTGTTTTCCATAGGAGTTGTATCAGTTTGCACTTACATTAGGAATCTGTGAGACTGCCTGCTTCTTCATAGTGTCCTTAACAGAATGTGTTACTAGTTTTTGATTTCTTGTCATCTGTTAGGTGAAATTGTTCTCAATGTAGTTATAATTGCAATTTTATCTTAAAAGCAAGGTTAAGCACCTTTTCATATGTTTAAGAGGGAAAATCTTTTTAAACGTGATATGGAGTCTTAGAGCACAAAGGAAAAAATGATGAAAAAATTTGACTACATAAAAAACAAACAAACAAAAAGACATATTGACAGTCGGGTTGGACGTTTTAAGTTTGGATCTGCAAATCAAAACCACATTGAGATATCATTTCGCCCCAGCTAGACTGGCTATATCAAAAAGACAGAGAATAACAAATGCTGGTGAGGATTTGGAGAAAGAGGAACCACCCCGACACTGTTGGTGGGACTGTAAATTAGCAAAGCCATTATGGAGAACAGTATGGAGGTTCCTCAGACAACCACAGTTAGATCTACCATATGATCCAGCAATCCCACTACTGGGTCTATACTCAAAGGAATGGAAATCATCATGTCGAAGGGACATCTGCACTCCCATGTTCATCGCAGCTCTATTCACAATAGCCAAGAGTTGGAAGCAATCTAAATGTCCATCAGTGGATGACTGGCTAAGGAAAATGTGGTATATATATACACCATGGAGTACTACTGAGCCATAAAAAAGAAAGTCTAACATTCACAGTAAAATGGATGAGCTTGGAGAAAATTATGTTAAGTGAAATAAACCAGGCACAGAAAGAGAAATACCACACGTCCTCACTCATAAGTGGGAGCTAAGAAACAAAGAAAGAAAGACCATAACAAAACATTGAACTTTCAGAAGGAGAGAACAGACCTATAGTTACTAGAGGTAGGAAAGGGGAGGGAGAGGGGAGATAGGGAGTAATTGGTTAAGGGACACAGAAAGTCATTATGATGTGTAATGATGAATATGCTAATAATATTGATTTGATCATCACGTACTGTACACCAATACTGATAGTCAACTTTGTACCTCATAAATATGTATAAATAAAAACATAAAATCAAAATAAAAAACAAATGACAAACTCAGGTAGCAGAATTTTTGCAACATGAGACTAACTAAATAGCCTTGATATACACTATTATTAAAAATCAGTAATAAGAAGACTGTATTCTCCTATAAGAAAATGTACCAATGACAGGAATAGGAAGCTCCAAATGAAGAAATTAAAGTGGTCATTAAACCCATATTAAAAATTCAGCCTCACCGGAAGGTAATACATTGTAAATGTAAGTGCCTTTGCTATAAAATTGGTGATTTCTTTAAAAGTATACATGTGGTACTTCTCCTAAATGAAACATACTGATATTCCACTATACACATTTTAAATAGTTGGAGGTATGTGGTGAAGTTCCTGGTTCCTTCCCGGCATCTCCTCCCTGCCCCCTTCACCCCCAGTTGACCTAGGTGTTTTGGATAGCAGTCTTCCTTCATATGTTGCCATGAATTGCTGGACAGTTGGACGCAGGCAGTAATAGGTGCAAGTGCAGTTACTTATTAAGCACTTTATCCTTTTGAAGGGGAAATAGTGTATCTCTAATTGTGTGTTGGAGTCTAGAAACAGTTGGTTCAATTCAGCAGAAACATGTACTGAACACTTACTGTCATGTGCCATGTACAGTGATCTATAGTGAGGATGAAGATATAGGAACTTTGTTTTCAAGTAACTCATTAATCTTTTTTGTGTCTTTATGTATGTAATTTCTCCAGTTTTATTTCTTTTATAGTTTTCTTTTTAAATTTCAAAGCAAGAGGCAGGTAATCTGTTTTCTAAAAATTTATCCCAGACTTCTATTATTTTTATAACAGTTTTATTATGATATAATTCACATACATACAGTTCACGCATTGGAAATGTAAAATTCACTGGGCTTTAGTATATTCAGAGTTATGCAATCATCATTACAGTCAATATTAAACCATTTTCATCATCCAAAAAGGAAACTCTGTACCCATTAGCAGTCACTGCCCATTCCTCCCTCCCTCCCAGTCTGTGGTAACCATTAGCCTACGTTCTGTCTCTATAGATTTCCCTATTCTGGACATTGTATAAAATGGAATTATACATTATTTGGTCTCTCATGACTAGTCATGAAAGCTAGCTTTTTCACTTAGCCTATTGTTTTCAAGGCTCATTCATGTTATAGCATGTATCAGTGCTTCTTTTCCTTTTTATGGCAAATAAAATTTCATTGTGTGCATATACCACGTTTCATCCTTTCATCAATGAATAGACATTTGGGTGGTTTCCACCTTTTGTCTACTACAAATAATGCTGCTATGAATATTCATGTACATATTTTTTGTAAATATATGTCTCATTTCTCTTGGATATATATGCAAGGGTACTTTAAAAGGTTCATGGAAAAATAGAATTAAAAGATAATGCAATAATTGAGTTTTAGCAGATTTTCTTGAATAGATGTTTCTTCATTTGTTGTATGCCATTAGGACAACTTCTAATGATTCCCAATTAAAAAAAAATACTTTTTGCCAATTATGATGTTTCACTGAGGAACGGGCCCACAGGACTTCTTATGACTCAGTTTTAGAAGTGGATCCCCCTCTTATGTCTACTTTTTCAGTAAAATAGAATTTCTTTGTTATGATGGTGCTAGAATGCTGGCTATACCAAGCAATTCTGATGCACTAGTTTTTCAATCAGGCTTTTACTGTGTCTTATTTATTCGGTTTCATGGTACCTGCTTCTCCTTGCCTTGTTTTTTTTTTTATATAAATGAAGCATGTTATAATGTTGTTTTACCTTTAAAAAATTATTTTGAGTGAAATAGTTTTATGCTCGTTACTTTTTTAGGTTTCACTCCAGCATCTGCTGTTGCCACCACTACTAGTTCAAGCACCATGTTTTTTACCTCGTTATCAACTGCTTTTACCTCCACTGCTGCTACCAGGATGTCATGTAAGTTACTCATTCCAAAGAAAATACTATTATTTCCCATGAGGCCACTTAAGTCAATTTGCTGATATGAGTTGTGGATCTCCTACATCTCATAAATTATCATTATGCTTGAATTCATCTGTTGCTGCTAAATATCAATAGTAGCTTGGTTTAAGAGTCTAAATGTCATGACATTAGCTGTGAATTTTTTTATTATTAACATTATTTTTTTTATTAACATGGTTATTACAGCTTAAAATGATAACTTTAAGCATATAATTCATCAACGTTGTGATGTTTTCAACTTCTTGGGCTATTAAGAATAGGAAAAGTGGGAGAGCGCTACCAGGACTAGGGAAGTCACCTGGCCATGGCTGCTTTGATGGCCTGGAATGTGTCCATGGGGTCCCAGCACACACTCTCGAGTTACCTCTGTGCAGTCTTTCTCAGCGTGCCCACTTGTCTATCCAGTGAGAGCCGAGATGAGGTGGGACGATACCCTGTGCTCTGAGTGAACCACAGTCAGCCTCCCTGTGCCTCAGGCCCGGGGCAAGAGCACCAGGCTTCAGAGTTGCCAGTCCTTCCAGGATGCTCAGGACTTCTGGTCAATATAGCAGAATAGATGGTCCCCAGTGTCACTCTCTCCCACAAATCAACCAATTTACAACTATAAAAAAGCAATGACAGCCAAGCTGGGACCTCTAGAGCTCAGGGAAAAAGGAGGAAAGACCAACAGAGTGCATGAAGGTGGGAGAAGCCACGATAATAGAAAGAACCGCTCCAATCTTTTTGAGCCCTGGCTGCTTTGAGGATGGAGCTGCTGAGCACATGGAGCAGGAGCTGGCAAAAGCCACAGCTATGCCTTTTGGATGAAGTTGATTGGAGGCGGCAGGGGAGAAGAGGGCCTTGGTGGCCCCCAGGCCAGCAAGAGCACTAATAGGGTTCCTGCAGACCCACATTGGAGTGAGGAGCCACAACAAATGAAAAAAAGGAGTCACTCAGAGGCCAGTGAGTCATCACAAAGAACTGGCACATGGCCCATCCCACGGGAAGTGTTTGCAGCACAGGCGGTGGGGGAGATGGGCCCACCTGGAGAACACGGGCATAGCAAGGACAGCTGATCTGCCCCCTAATCAGCATAGGACCATTCAGACGAGACTGATCGGGAACATAGAATGCCTGGGGTACTGTTTGATGAAAAGACTCAGGCCCAGACCAGAGTTTCTGCACAACCCAGGTGCACCAGATTTCTCTAGACCCAGAAGTACCTATAAAGTCAACCATTAAAACCTGAGCTGCACAAAAAGCCTTCCATAGGGAATCAGCAGCAAAGCAGCAATTTAGCTAAACTACACAGCTCAAGAACTGGTCCCCACAGGAAGTTCCCCCATTTTAGAAGCAAAGGACAGCATATTAGTTCCAGCACAGAGCTTAAGTGGTGGGAGCAGCAAATAATCCAACACAGAATTGAAAGAAAAAACAAAGTACCCACAACCAGGGACAAAGTTTGATATTAACTAGCAAAGGTCTCATTTTACCAAAGAACTCCTATAACACTTAGAAGGACCAGGAGTCCCCTAAGCTACCAAACCAGAAAGTGAGGAGGGCCACAGGCCTCAGCAATGCCCCCAGATATCCACAACCAATCCCAAGAGTGGGAGGTGGGGGACTCGGCCACACCCCCCTGACATGTGCAACCACGCCCACCAGACATGCACAGCCAGCCCAGCAATGACAACTGACCCACCGCCAGAAGCACCCAGGGCTCTCCCAAGCTAGGGTGGTGGGGGGCCAAGGGCCTCGGCCACACTCCCCAAACATGTGCAATGAGCCCAGCGACAATCACTAAGCCACAGCAAGAAGGACCCTGAGTTCCCAAGCTGGGGTGGTGGGGGGTGAGGGCTTTTGCCAAATCCCCATGATATCTGCATGCAGCCTAGCAATTACCAAGCCACCACTTGAAGCCCCCTGGTCTCCCCTGTGGGAATGAGGTGGGTGCCACAGGCTCAATCCTACCCCTCCTCCTTCTTCCTTCTTATGTCACATTTCCTTCCCTTTCCCTTCTCCCCCTTAATCCCAACTGTTCCACAACAACATCCTAGAATGTAAAAAAATAATATTAAGAAAATTATATTTTCTGTAAAAAAAATAGTAATAGGAAGAGTGGGAGTTTTGCCAAGTGTGTCTGAAGGGAAGAAGTCCTTATTATCTATGTGAATAAGATAAAATGGGAAATAAACGTTGGACCTTGCTCTAGTATATATATAAACTGGGCTTGTGGTCCTTACATTTTATCTAGCAAAGTGGAGCATGACAAAGGACAACTGTAGTTTTGGAGTTCTAACTGGGACTATATGATGTCTTATGACCTTTCCCACTCTAGAGGAATGTCTGGATGCTTTGAACTTAGAGGTGGGATGTTATCTCATAACCCCAATTTTTTGTTGCACATCCTTCATTAGTAGAATAATAGATAAATGTTGAAAATATTGAATTCAGTATATGTCTTAGGCAATTCTTTCTTTTTTAATTTTAATTTATCAATATACAATGTAGTTGATTTTCATGTTCCTTTACCAATTCCTCTTTCCCTCCTCCCTCTCCCCTCCCTCCCACCAGCATCATATCTGTTCCTTCATCTTAACAAGTTCAAGGAATTGTTGTGATTGTTGTCTTCTTCCCCCACCCACCACCACCATTTGTTTGTATATTTATTTAATTGATTGATTTTTTGGTCCCCAAAATAAGTGAGAACATGTGGTATTTCTTTCTGAAATACCTGAAAGAAATAAGTGCCTGACTTATTTTACTTAATGTAATTTTTTCTAAGTCCATCCATGTTGATGTTAATGGTAGTATTTCATTCTTTTTTATACAAAGTAGTATTCCATTGTGTAGATATACCACAGTTTCCTTATCCACTCATCTGATGATGGACATTTGGGCTGGTCTAAACTCTTGGCTATTGTAAATAGTGCTGCAGTAAACATTGGAGTACAGGTATCCCTTTGACATGATGATTTCCATTCCTCTGGGTATATTCCTAGTAGTGGAATAGCTGGGTCATATGGTAGATCTATCAATATTTGTTTGAGGAACCTCCATACCATTTTTCATAAAGGTTGCACCATTTTGCAGTCTCACCAATAGTGTATGAGAGTTCCTATTTCTCTGCAGTCTCACCAGCATTTATCATTCTCAGTCTTTTGGCTATTAGCCACCCTAACTGCAGTGAGATGGTATCTCAAAGTGGTCTTGGTTTGCATTTCCCAAATGCTGAGTGATGTTGAGCATTTTTCCATGTGTCTATTGGACATTTGTATATCTTCCTTTGAGAAATGCCTATTAAGCTCCTTTGCCTATTTTTAATTGGGTTATTTGTTTTTTGGCTGTAAAGTTGTTTGAGTTCCTTGTATATTCTGGATATTAATCCTTTGTCAGCTGTATATTTTGCAAATGTTTTCTCCCACTCTGTTGGTTATCTTTTCACTCTGTTTATTGTTTCTTTTGCTGGGCAGAAGCTTTTTATTTTGTTATAATCCCATTTGTTTATTTTTCCTTTAGTTGCCTGTGATTTTGGGGTTGCATTCATGAAGTCTGTACCCAATCCTACTTCCTGGAGTGTTTCTCCTATGTTTTCTTTAAGGAGTTTTGTTGTTTCAGGATGTATATTTAATTCTTTAATCCATTTTGAGTGGATTTTGGTATATGGTGAGAGGTACAAGTTCAGTTTCATTCTCCTACCTATAAATATCCAATTTTCCCAGTACCATTTGCTGAAGAGGCAGTCTCTTTCCCAGTGTGTAAACTTGGTGCCTTTGTCAAAGATCAGATGGCTGTAGGTGTATGAGTTGATTTCTTGATTTTCTATTCTATTCCATTGATCTGTATGTCTGTTTTTATGCCAGTGTCATGTTGTTTGGGTTATTATAGCTTTGTAATATAGTTTAAAGTCAGGTAGTGTTATGCCTCCAGCTTTATTATTATTTTTTTTTTGCTCAGAATTGCTTTGGCTATTAATGGTCTTTTGATATTCCATATAAATGTTAAGATAGTTTTTTCCATTTCAGAGAAAAATGTCATTGGAATTTTGATGGGGATTGCATTGAATTTGTATATCACTTTATGTAGTATGGACATTTTCACAATGTTAATTCTTCCAATCTGAGAGCATGAGATATTTTTCCATCTTCTTGTGTCCCCTTTAATTTCTCTCAGTAGTGCTTTGTAGTTCTTTTCACATCCTAGGTTAATTTTATTCCTAAGTATTTTATTTTGGGGTGGCTATTGTAAATGGGCTAGCTTCTTGATTTCTTTTTCTGCATGTTCACTGTTGGATATAGAAATGCCACTGACTTTTGTTAGTTGATTTTGTATCCTGCAACTTTGCTGAAATCATTTATCAACTCTAGGAGTTTTTTTGTAGAGGTTTTAGGTTGTTTGATATATAGGTTCATATCATCTGCAAACAAGGACAGTTTGACTTTATCTTTTCCAATCTGGATGTCCTTTATTTCCTTCTCTTCTCTGATTGCTCTGGCTAGTACTTCCAACGCTATGTTGAATAGGAGTGCTGGGAGTGGGCATCCTTGTCTAGTTCCTGTTCAGGATGATATTGGCAGTGGGCTTATCATATACGGCTTTAATTATATTGAGATACTTTCCATCTATACCTAACTTATAGAGAGTCTTTATCATGAACGAATGTTGAATTTTGTCAAATACTTTTTCAGCATCTATAGAGATGATCATATGGTTTTTGTCTTTGATTTTATTGATGTGGTGTATTACATTTAGTGATTTCCATGTGTTGAACCAACCTTGCATCCCTGGGATGAATCCCAATTGACCATGGTGTATAATTTTGTGTATGTGTTGCTGTATTCTGTTAGGTAGTATTTTATTGAGGATTTTTGCATCTATATTCATCAAGGATATTGGCCTGTACTCTTCTTTTTTGTTGTATCTTTGTCTGGTTTTGGTATCAGGGGGTTGTTTCCCTCATAAAATGAGTTTGGGAG